ATTCTATTCCCGGTTATACCTGCGTAAATGGATTAGCCTCTTTTGATGTTGACATTCAGACTAAAATCACATGACATGCTGTTAAAATTGGCTGTTGCATACACTTTCGCCGGTCTGGAAAATGTGTTTAGTTAGCTCTCATTCAAGTAACAATGCAGATTTCCCAGTGGGAGTGAAACTATTCGACTCTGCCATTAAAAAATAGGGGTGTTTTGAGCAAAAAACGAATAACCCTGGAGTGCACACAACACACTGAATTTCGGAACAAATCTTGCATTATTTACAGCAGCAGAATACCACAGAAATATCAGACGAAACATGGAAACACTATATATATGTATTTCGGCCTGAACCCTCTCTATTGCAATTCCAGGAATTACCCCCCCGTATGTGCAACCATTTTCCACCTTGGTACCACCCAAGCCTGAAAACAAAATCTTAATACCACGCTGAAGCGTTTGGTAAACATTATGGATGTATCGTTATTTACTGGCACACTTATAGGCAACCTAAAACAAAGTTGGATAAGCAGTCAGCAAAACTTGGTGAGCGACATTTTTTTTCTTGAAAAGGATTAAGGGATGTCGGAAAATAATGTCGGTAACAATTTATAATTCTGAGTGAGAATTAGCCAGCTAATTAAACTGAATTAATTTCAACTAATTGACAAGCTCCGCTCGTTACAGCGGGCGCAAGATATTTACATACACCTAACTCCCGCATCTGGTAGGTAATTCCTAATTTTCGAGTTGTTGGTTTTCTACAGAATTCCGCTAGAGGGCGCATACAAAATACCCGGATGACGAGCCTGAGTGGGGTTGTTTTTATTGAAGTTCTGTATTCTTACATGCGTAAATCAATAGATTGGAAAAGCAAAAAAGTTCCAGAACTCCGCAAATTTCTTCAGGATCGTGGTATAACTTGCAGCAATGTTCGTAAAGCTAAACTGTTTGAACTTGTTGAGTTAGCAAACGAGTTAACTGTTCGCCAAGAGTCAAACAATCGTCGTCGTACTGTAAAACACGAGTCGACGATAACTCTGGTAGATCCGTGTAACGTAAAAACTTGGCAAAAAAAACTTCATACTTTGCCTTTGTGTTAAATAGCTGATATGTTCGCATATTTGTTGCATCGAAGTGACTGGACAACAGCCAGACTGAAAGAATATCGACTTATTAATGGTTACTTACTTCATAATTTCCCTAAAGCTTCATCATGTGTTGTTACGTTCAGACGCTGGTACTCGACTCGTATAACAAATAAAACGCCCGAACGCAAGCAGTGTGCAAGATAGTACGGTAGTATATTTTCAATGGCCTATTTAAATGTCACATAACTTTGTTGAACGAAAACACAAGCCAGACCGGACAGCTAACAATGTTCAAGAACAATTCCCATTTCCTAATAAACTGATAAACCAGTCAGTGATACTGGTAAGAATTATAGTGCTATCAGTTTACCTTCTATTTGGAGTCTTCTTGCTATCAGTTTACCGTCTAATTGCCGTCTTCCTCGTCAACGTAAAACAAAAGGCTTTTATAGCCAAAGCAGACTCCCTAACTCAGTACAAATAAATATGCAAAATAGGGATAAATTGACAAAAGAACACAACATAAAGCGACCGAGGACAATATGACGTTTCAATAAAACCCCAACTACAAATTACACAAATAATAAATACATAAAATAAACTCAAACGTAACATGTGTAGAATACAGAATTTAATTTCATTATGGCAGAGTGTATTCGGCAACGATCCATGAAGGAAAATCCTTACAAGCCATGGTTTATTATTAAATCAAACTCTAAAATAGTTTCTGGTGTTTGTAACTGTGTAGTGTAAGTTTGATTTAATATGTTATTCACCAGGCGATCAGCAGATGCAGTTATCATAAATGGACACACGTTTTTTTCCTTCCGTAGTTATTTTAACTTCAACTTCGCAAAAAATGCCATCATAAGGATTCTGAACAAGAAGATCGATGTGGGAATCGGCAACGAGCGAATTTTTCATCAAATCCGGCTCAATGTTTTCGTTTGCGCTCGTCTCGGGAAGCTGACAGAATCTTCGTTTTTCAATCGATGTATAACTGCGGTTGAAAGACGGCTGTCTCCAGTTATTGAACTAAAAAAAGTACTGGCGCAGGATGGAAAATGCCGTGAACAAACCCGGGAATATAGTTTGGCGTCCACTCAGATTCCCGACGACACATTCGAATCCACTGGCGTTGAAGTGTTGATTTCTTGGACGAAAGAAATGTATGAAAAGTTACGTATACGCCTTTCATCTCAGGATATTTCGCTGTTTTTTTCTTTTTAATAGAACCCAAGGAATAGTCTGGGGCATTACAATGCCAGTTAACCACTTTGACCAATTCTTGCAAAACGTTTGTAAAAAATAAGACTTCGGCAACAGTAACTACTAGTATATTGCTTACAGCAGACACCGCTCAAATTTCAACCCCACCACGAACGTTGAACGGACTGTCATCCGGGTACTTTGAGAACGCCCTCTATCGAATTTCGTGAGAAAAATAGTAACTCGGAAATTAGGAATTACCGAGGAACTTTGCAACATCCCCAGACACTTTCCTAGATGCTCCAACGACCGTTGTAGACGCAATAAAGTTACATACACGCCTACGTGACAGTTAATCAAAACACCGGACGCGGAATGCCCTTCAAGTTGAACAATCATTGCTGTGTAACACTTGGGAGAAATATAATAACATTAAACTGGGAATAAATATTAATAAGAAATGATAAATCTAAATTCTTTTGATTGGTAGATGTTAAGATGTTGTCAATGGATTTATATTAACAATATTAACGTTGTGAGTGTCCCGTTAAATTTCTCGCATAATGGCTGGTCCCATTGTCAGTTTGCCAGAACACTCATCGCCCACTCAATCTTTCCCTGGAATCTTCTACTTAGTTTCACCTCCACACCGTCGCTATATACCAGTTTCAAATAATTCAAATTCGATAAACTGAACGATTTCTTGTATAACATTCAGACGACGAAGGCCGCTACTACTCTCGTGGCGTATCCAACCAATGTGACAGAAATGCCACACAATTACTTGAACAGTCACGGTTGCCCTCGTTAGTTCAACTTCCTCCGTTGTCGATCATTTGCAAGAGGCGAATAATCTCTATCTCAGCGTCTTTGTCTAAACGCTTTGAGATAATAACAATAATTGTGAAAAATCAGAAACTGCGTTCAAAACTAAACTGTTCTCACGAGGATAATTTGGATCATTTCATTATATGTTAGGGGCGTTTTTAAATATTTGTATCAACCACGTTTATTATTTTCGCGAAACGTTCAAAATATAATTCATTAAATGAACTAGCATATGTATGCATGAAATAATAAAGTGTCCGATATCAAAAATGAGTAAAACATGATTGTTTGATGAATATTTGACTGGACGCTTACACGTTGTACTAGTTGAACCCATCTGAAACTGTGGTCTGTCTAGGAAAGTGTCCAGGGATGTTGCAAAGTCCCCACCGGGTGCTGGAGTTAGGTGTATTTAAATATCTTGCGCTCGCAGTAAATCATAATGACCAATCAGCTCGTTTATCTTTTCGCCAATCATGTACAAGGCAATATCCATTGTAACAGTCATGTACAAGACCATTATGTACTTTGAGTATTTAAGTAGGAGACAAAACATCTCTTCTTCAGTTCGATCAATAAAGTTATCTGTTGCACAGTCCATACGTGGTCTCATCATCAATTCCTGAACCTGCTCTTTTTAACAATTCTCACAAGGGTTGACTATTTGTATTCGGGGGGGGGGTTCGTAAACATATATCCAGGACATTTTGTTCAGTATAACGTAAAAGCGGGGGAGTCGTCACCTGCGCATGCGTCAGATGGCCATAGCCATTACAAACAAGCGTCTACCCATGAACCTTTGCATTTTTAGCGTGTGTTGTTATCGTCACTTTGGAC